GCTACTCAGGAGGCTGAGTTAGGAGAATCACTTGAACCCAGAAGTCAGAGGTTGCAGTGAGCCTAGATCACACCACTGTACTTCAGCCTGGACAAGAGTGAAACTCTGTCTCAAAAATAAATAAATAAATAAATAAATACACGTGAAAGTTTAGGGGTAAGAAGCACGGTGTCTATGATTAACTTTTAAATTAAAACTCTGGGCCAAGTGTGGTGGGTGACGGCTGTAGTCTCAGCACTTTGGAGGCGCAGGCTGGCAGATGGATAGCTTGAGCCCAGGACCTCAAGACCAATCTTGGCAACATGGTGAAACCACAAAATCTCTACAAAAAATACAAAAATTAGCCAGGTGTGGTGGGGTCCACCTGTAGTCCCAGCTCCTTGAGAGGCTGAAGTAGGAGGATCACTTGAGCCCAGGAGGCAGAGGCTGCTGTGAGGCAAGATCGTTCCAACTGCACTCCAACCTGGGCAACAGAGCGAGACCCTGTCTCAAAAAACACCCCCCCACCCTAGCCCACCCCCCCCAAAAAAAACCTATAAGGGGCTTGAGAGCTATGTCTTGAAGAAGAGGAAATAATGGTTTGCCTCTGTATCACGTATGCAGAGGTAAACCCTTACCAAACTGTGCTTAATAATATCTTTGAGTCAGGGGAGTGGCTCTCATTCTGCACGTAAGTGCCCGTAAAAAAATATGTGCAGAAATACCATGGGGCCTTAACCTCCCTGGGCATCAGGTGGGGACAACGTTCACATGCCGTGACCCTGCCACAGTTGAGTGCCTGGTAATCCTTAGAGACCGCTGCCCACAGCAGAGTCCACCCCGAGGCCCCGGACTCAGGCCAGGTCATGCTCTGGTGGTGTCTCTGAGCCGACCAAGATCCACCTTCCCCAGACCCCCCACCCCCAACCCCGGACCCAGCCGTCTGCAGCCCTGCCCCCGGCACACCCATGCCCCAGGCCGGCCTCACCTGGTGGCTGGTCCTCCCGGAAGAGCAGGAAGATGCCCAGGCTGGCCGCGTACTCCGTGAGCAAGGACACCGCCTGGCTGGCTGGGGGATCCTTGAGCGGCAGGCTCAGCCCTGCGGGGGGCACAGGAACCCTCGGGGCCTTCCCCATCTGTTCCCCCAAGCTTTCCCACGCCTGGGGTGCCCCCAGCTCTCCTACTCTGGCCCCTGCCCCAGGCCCACTGTCCCCCAACACCGAGGCCTGGCACCAGTCGCCCCCTGCGTGGTCCTTTGCGGGCGCGGGCTCCCAGACACCTTGGGCCGGGGGCGGCGGCGGTCGCCAGGCACGGGGTCCGGGGCTTATCTTTAACGATGCAGCCAGGCGGGGCTTTCTGCGGCCGCAGTCGTCTGTGCCCTGAGAAACTGAAGCCATGGCCACCAACGGAGATCCAAAGCGCTAGACCCTATCTCGCGCTGCCCACGCCTTTTTTACACGCAGAGGGCGGATTACCTCACGTGGGGAGCACGTGGCCAACAGCGCGTTATGGGCTCCACCCCTGCCCCGCCTCTGGCCAATGAGAGTCCTTAGATCTGTGACCGACAGTGCACCCTGCCAATGGAAAGGCCAGTCTCCCAACCGCTGTGGCCCACATCCGGAGGGCTGAGGCAAACGTCCCACTGTCTGGACGGAAGTTCCGGTAGGTGGGTGGGTGTGAGGCTGTTCTAGCGGCCGCTTCTCTAACCCGGCGTGGTCCCGGAGTCTTGAAAGTGTGGGAGGCAGATCTGGGGGCCTTGGGTCTAACTTCACCCTCTGGTTCCTGCCCTAGGCCCCTAGGCACCTCGACATCACAGCGCTGCCCAGCTGCTTCACTGCCTGAGCCTGGAGCCCTCAACGCCACAAATGAGGGGTTCACACTATCGCAGCAGAATCACTGGAATTCACACTTTAAAATTTCACTGCAGGCCTTTTTGAGGCCAAACAGAAGTGCCCTCAAGCCAAGAATTAGCCATTTGATGTAAAACGTAGCTGGGCGTGGTGGTGCACACCTGTAGTTCCAGCTACTTGGGAGGCTGAGGCAGGAGAATCACTTGAACCCGGGAGGTGTAGGCTGCAGTGAGCTGAGATTGCGCCACTGCACTTCAGCCTGGGCAACAGAGCGACTTTATCTCAAAAAAGAGAAATAAAAAAATTTTTTTAAATAACCATTTGCCACCCTGCCTTTTTTCCCTATAAGAAGGGATTTTGAGTTGATTTCAAACAAATACCACAAGATAGCAATCCTTTAAGGTGAGGAGCCAGAGATGAAGAGAAACAGGAAAAATGGGATGAAAAAGACAGGGGTGAGGACAATTCACACAAGGCTTACTGGGATGCAACGCATATTTGATTGAAGGAGGCTGCAAGTTTAACTGAGTCTCATAGCAGTCACTAACTGGGGAAATCATGACCAGTGTCTGTAAGATTTGTCACAGTGCTTGCTGCTGCTGAAGCTGGGCCTGGCAGTGCTCACCAGGATTGTGACAGTGAGGACAGGGGCATATGAGGAGCAGGCGGTGGAGTCTTCCCAGAACCTTTGACTTGAAAGGAGCAGGTGTGGTGGGCTAGGTAAGTTCAGCCTCCCAAACTGTCAAGGGTTGACATCAGGAAGAACAATTCCATTTTGTGTGTGCCGTGCAGCCCAGAGAGTGGGATTAGGCCCAGGAGAGTGAAGGGACAGCACGGCAGATGTCCAGAAATGGACTGAAGTCTGCACATATACACAGGGTGACTTCCACAAAGTCATCAGACCCAGTCACGTACCAAATGCTCACCAACGGGAGGTTGCGTGACCAAATAAATGGTGGTATATTCACACAACGGAACATGAATCTAATTTAAAAAGGAGCCAGCGGCCACATGCACAACACAGGTGAATCTATTAGGTACATGGCACAAAAGAAACCAGACACATCCCCTGCATGATTCCATTTATGTAAAGTTGTCGAACTGGCAAAACTCATCTATGGTGATGAGAGCCCAAATAGTGGTTCCTTCTTGAAGGAAGTATTGACTGGAAATGGCACCAGAAAATTTTCTTTTTTGAAAAAAATTTTTTGTAGAGACTGGGGGTCTTGCTATGTTGCCCAGGCTGATCTTGAATGCCTGGACTTAAGCCACCCTCCCACCTCGGCTTCCCAAAGTGCTGGAATTACAGGCATGAGCCACCATGCCTGTCTGGAACTTTCTTGAGTGATGGAAATGTTCTCTGTCTTGATCTGTGTGGTGTTTATGTGGGTTTCTATGTATGTATGTATTAATAAAAACTCAATGAGCTGTACATTTTAAGATGTGCACTTCACTGCATGTTAAGTATATGTCAGTTACAAGAGCAAATTGACAGTGGCTTATTCAGAGAAAGGAGGGAAGGAAGAAGTGGAATTGGCCTCCCAGTGCCAACACTGGATATGTGTTTTATAAGGGTAGTGTAGAATATTAGTGTGGTAGGCAAAGTAATGGTTCCCCCAAGATGTCTACAGCCTAATCCCCAGAACCTACGAGTATCTTATTTGGCAAGGGGGAATTAAGGTTGGAGGTGGAGGTAAGGTTGCTAATCAGCTGGCTTTAAAATAGGGCTCACACCTGTAACCCCCAGCACTTTGGGAGGCTGAGGTGAGAGGGTAGCTTGAGCCCACAGTTCGAAACCAACCTGGGTGACATGATGAAACCCCATTTCTACCAAAAATGCAAAAAATTAGCCAGACATGGTAGTTGGCACCTGTAATCCCAGCTACTCGAGAGACTGAGAAGAATGATCTGAGCCTGGGAAGTTGAGGCTGCAGTGAGCCGTGATAATACCACTGCACCCCAGCCTGGGTGATGGAGTGAGACCATGTCTCAAATAAATAAAATAAAACAGGGAGATGATTATCCTGGATTACCTGAGTGGGGCCACTGTAATCACATGGGTCCTTATGTGTGAAAGAGGGAGACAGAAGAGTCAAAACCAGAGAGATAGCCTCATGAGAAGGATTCGACTGGTACTGCTGACTTTGAAGATGGAAAAGGGTCATGAGCCAAGGAATGGAGGCAACTTCCAGAAACCAGAAAAGGCAAGACAGTGGACTCTTCCTTAGAGCCTCTCAAAGGGAACACAGCCCTGCCGACACTTTTAGTCCAGGTAAAAACTCCAACATAAAAATGATATAGGCCAGGCATGGTGGCTCACGCCTGTAATCCCAAGACTTTGGGAGGCTGAGGCGGGTGGATCACTTGAGGTCAGGAGTTCGAGACCAGCCTGCACAACATGGTGAAATCACATCTCTACTAAAAATACAAAAAGTAGCCAGGCATGGTGGTATGCACCTGTAATTCCAGCTGCTCGGGAGGCTGAGGCAGGAGAATTGCTGGAACCCGGGAGGCAGAGGTTGCAGTGAGCTGAGATCATACCACTGCACTCCAGCCTCCATCTCAAAAAAAAGAACTATAGATGACAGTTGGAGAATTTGGAAATTGATTCTTTAAAGCAACCATTCTCAAAGTGTGGCCCCTGGACTAGCATCATCTGGGAACTTGCTAGAAATGCAGACGCTTGGGCTGCATCCCAGATCTACTGAATCAACAGCTCAGGAGGCAGAGGTAGGCTGAAGCCTAGCAAACTTGCAACAAGCCCTCCAGGTGGATCTGAGGCTCACTCAAGTTTGAGAAGTAGTAGGTTAGGATAACGGTGAGGTTTATGACTAGACAGTGGTCCTTAAAGCATGGCCCCCAGATAAGCAGTCTCAGCAACACCTGGGAACTTGGGCAAATTATCAGGCCCCAAGCCAGACTCACCCAATTGGAGACCGTGTTTTAATGAGTCTCCCAGGTGCTTCTGGTGTTGCACACTTGCTAGAGTTTGAGAACCACTGCCTAAAGCTCTCCCTGCCTGACCAACCCTTGAAAAGCCTCACTCTCTGGAGGTATTTGTACTCTTATTTATAAAGCCTGCTTCTTAGGATTTAAGGACACTCACTAGGATACCTACTGACTACCTGGCTTTTGTAGGTGCTCCGTAATAGTTCGTTAAATGATTAATTTAATATAACGCGGAGGAAATTGGTGAAGCAGATGTGGGATTCGAACCTATAATCACACAACCTCCACTACTGAGACTCCAGGGAGGTTTATTTCCGCCGCCCACGCGCTCCCTGAACGCCCCTTCTCTCGCCGCCCGGCGGAGCCCACCAGGACCCTATGAGGCCAGGCTGGGAGGCGGGACTTCCTGCCTTCCCAGGAGGCACTTCCGGTCCAAACCGGAAGACCATGAGTGGCCGTGGTGGGGCTGAGTGCTGGATCTGCGGTTCTACCTGAGGTTTCCCTCCTGGTGTCGGGGTCGGGCGAGCTTCACGCCGCGGCCCATTTTCTTGAAGATCACAACCGGACCCGGGCCACGTAAGTGCATATGCCTTCTCCGCGCAGACTGGGCGTGTTCGGGAGGAGTGCACCCGCAGATGTAGGAGGGGAGAAATCCCCGAATCCCCCGTCCCCGCAGCATGAGGCTCACGTTTCGCCGTCCCCGGCCTGGCGCTAGCGCGGACCCGACGGAGTCCTGAAGCCTCGGAAGTCCGAAGGGTTCTGGAGAGCCTGCAGCGGAGGGCGGGAAGCCGGTCGGGGAAGTCGAGGCTGCCTTGTCCGAGGGCTTTTGTGGGGTCGTATGCTCCACCAGCCACCTCCACCTGCGAAGGATCGTTTCAGGCTGTGCGATTCCGAGGAAAAATACTTTTGTTTCTGTTTTATATTTGAGACAGAGTCTTGCTCAGTCACCCAGGCTGGAGTCCTGTGGCATGATCTTGGCTCACTGCAACCAGCGCTTCCCGGATTCGAGCGATTCTCGTTCTTCAGCCATCCGAGTAGCTGCGATTACAGGTGTGCGCCACCACGCCCGGCAAATGTTGTTATTTTTAGTAGAGACAGGATTTCACTATATTGTCCGGGCTGGTCTCAAACTCCTGGCCTCAGGTGATCCGCCCGCCTTGGCCTTCCTATGTGCTGGGATTACAAGCAGGAGCCACCGCACCTGGCCAAAGGAAAAAGGTTTTTGTTTAGTGAGATCCTAATGCTAGCCTTCGCACTTCGGTGCATGGGAGAGCAGTGGTTCAGAGCTCTGCCTCTGAATCAGATGCGAATCTAGTCTTGGCTGTGGCAGGTTAAGAGCTCTTCTACTGAAGTCCTTGCAGAGCGTTAGTTTCTTGAACTCCGTGACAGGGACGGCGATAGAAGAGGAAATCGTTTAACAGGTGCCTGGCAGATAGATGGCTGGCGCTTGGTCAGTGAGCCCTGCTGTTATTTCTGCCCGTTATTTTTGCTAATTAAAAAGGAGGGGTAATATGGCTACTCAAACTTGCAGAGGACTGTGGGGTTTTGTGTTTGTTTTGTTTTGTTTTGTTTTCAGATGGAGTCTTGCACTGTTTCCCAGGCTGGAGTGCAGTGGCACAATCTCGGCTCATTGCTAACCTCCGCCTCCTGGGTTCAAGCGATTCTCCTGCCTCAGCCTCCCGAGTGGGTGGGACTACAGGCACGTGCCCCTATGCCTGGCTGATTTTTTGTATTTTTAGTGGAGACGGGGTTTCACCTTGTTAGCCAGGGTAGTCTCGATCTCCTGACCTCGTGATCTGCCCGCCTTGGCCTCCCAAAGTGCTGGGATTACATGTGTGAACAGCCATGCCCTGCCCTGGACTGTGTACTTACCAAAGCCTTCTGATATTAAAAAAAAAAAATTTTTTTTTTATTTGAAGTTTTGCTCTGCTGCCAGGCTGAAGTGCAATGGCGCCATCTCGGCTCACTGCAGCCTCCGCCCCCCAGACTCAAGCGATTCTTCTTTCTCAGCCTCACAGGTAGCTGGGATTAGAGGCATGCACCACCACACTAGCTAATTTTCTATTTTTAGTAGAGATGGGGTTTCTCTGTATTGGTGATGCTGGTCTCAAACTCCTGACCTCAGGTAATCCACTCACCTGCCTCAGCCTCCCAAAGTGCTGGGATTACCAGTGTGAGCCACTGCGCCCGGCCCCTTGTGATATAAATTTATTTTTATTCAACCCATAGTGCATTTTCTGTGGGAACATTACACTTGACAGTAGGAAGATGATGATAGATGCAGTCCCTGGCTGTGGAGTAACTGAAGCTTTATCTTGGAGTGTGTGTAGTCTAAATGTATGATGACGGTGCTTAGGAGCTGTGTGAGAGGCTGCCCCTCAGCGGTGATCTGGCTTCATCACCACTCTCCACCTTGCTCACTCTGGCTGCCTCGTTGTTCCTCATACACTTCCCTGCTCCAGGATTTTCACACTTGTTGATCGTTCTGCCTGGAACCCTCTCCCCAGTTGTGTACATGGCTCTGTCCCTCACTAGGTTCAGGCTGTGCTCAAATGCCAGCTTCTCAACAAGGCTTTTCCTGGCTGTCTTTGCTGAAACAACACCCTGGGCCCGTTACCAGATCCAGTTCTCCTGGATGGGTGTCTAGCTTTAAGACAGTTCCCATTACTGCTTGGCATTGAGCTACATATTCATTTGTTTTTTATTATCTGCTTCCTCAAAGAACATATGCTTCTCATAGTGCCCTTTTCACTCCTCAGGAACCCTGGCGCCCCTTACCACCTTCCAGTCTCTCGAGGCGGCCAGCGTGCTGCTTGATCCTTGTTCCCAAGATGGACTTTCCCAGCTCCCTCCGCCCCACATTGTTTATGACTGGCCCCCTTGGTCTGAACGATGTCTCTGACCTGTCCTTCATGTGCAGCTGGCAAAATGCGCTGACTCTGCCAGAGGCCCAGCCCCAGAACTTGAAGGTAAGGATGGAGGCAGGGGCCCAGGCAGCTCCAGGGTGCACCCCTTCCCTGGTTCCCCATCTAACATTCACCCCAGTTGACAAGGCCACAGAGTGGGGTGGCATTCTCACGAGTCTGCTGAGACGCAGGCTGTGCCATCTTCTCGGGTATGTGGGCTACCCTGCCATCCCTAGATGGATGCCCCCACTGTGCCAGATTCCTTTTGAGGGCCTGGGAATGCTGCGTCAGTCAGCTGACCTCCAGCTCCTGGAACAGAGAGCTAAGTTGAGCGAGAATAAACAAGTGAACTTCATCTAGTGGATAAGGTGTTTACAAAATGTGATCAGAGCTTGGAGTGAAACCGGAAGAATGCTGAAACAGCGTGGTGGGATTGGGAGAGGGAACGATAGACCTGCCAGGGTTTCTGGTGCCTCTGGAGGGACACTGGCCCTTTGCTTGGAATCTTCAGCCACCTGGTGTCCCCTTGGAGACACCCTGTCTAGAAATGGAGCCTGGCAGAGGCAAGCGGGTTAGCAAATAAAAAGAGAGAGTGGAGCCGCGATTTGGGGGATGGGAGTCAGGGATGGCCTCCTTACAAGGGAGGGTCTCACCTCAAATTGGGGCTTCTCTGGGGGTCTGGTTTGCTACCTTTTTTGTCTCCTGAGTATTTCAGCTGAAATGTCTCAGGCCAGCCCAGCAAAGGGAGGTGGAGCCACCTACGGGCTCCCAGAGTGACTGCAAGGTCTCCTGAATGGAAGTGAGGTTAAGTGGGATACCAACCAGCCACTGGTGGTGGGAGGGGCTTCCTTCTTTGAGAGCCAGCACAGGTGGAGGCTGGAAAGATGAGCTCTGAGGTGAGGCTACCTGGGTTCACCTCCAAGCTCTTCTCTTTACTGGCTCTGTCATCTAGGGCACGTGGCAGTGTGCCTCAGTTTCTTCATCAGTAAACGACCATGCCAACCATCCCAACTTCGCAGCAGTGTTGTGAGGATTGGATGGGTTGATAAAAGATGAATGCCTGTGCAGAGCCCGGCCCAGGGAAGGTACTTATCGTGATGCTATCATTGTGATTGTGTTCCCTTCAGAATGGGGCACTGCATGTGACCAAGGACCTGCTGTGGGAGCCGGCGACCCCTGGGCCTCTCCCCATGCTGCCTCCCCTTGTCGGTAAGCGTCTTACTCCTCCGGGCTCACTCCACGCTGCTCCCCCTCCTGAGACCTTCCTCTGCCTGCTGAGCCTGTGCCCACTCAGGGCCCTTGGATACCTCCAGTTGCCCAGGCCATCTGGCTGTACTCCTGTGCCCTCCCAAGCCCTTTCCGTACCTCCTCCTCAGATCCCTGGGAACCTGGCCTGACTGCCCAGGACCTGCTTTTCCGAGGAGGGTACAGGTATCGGAGGCGACCCCGAGTTGTGCTGGATGTTACTGAGCAGGTGAGTGGGCCCGTGGGGGATAGTGCTGCGTCATCTGGAAACTGCTTAGTGACCTGGCCTCCTCTCCCCAGATCAGCCGGTTCCTCTGGGATCATGGAGACGTAGCCTTTGCACCACTAGGGAAGCTGATGCTGGAGAATTTCAAGCTGGTGGGAACAGGGGTGAGTAGCCCGTGATGCCAGGGTAGGGCCTCCCTGCTCTCCTTCAGGGGTGAACTCGAGGCTGTGTGAGCTTGACGAGGCCTTTCCATGCAGAGCTGCACTAAGAAGACGACAGTGGTCAATGTGAAGAAGCTGCTCCAGGACCTCGGTGGACATCAGCCCTGGGGGCAAGTGGCTAATGAGAAAGGAGACGGCTAGGCCTAGCTGTTGGTGGGGATGTAGGAGGTTCTAGGATGCACATCCAGGTGTCCATCATACCCACTTCCCCTTGCCCCATGCTTTCTGAGCTGTACTTTGTTATATCAGACTTCCAACTGCAAGTCATCTCAGGAGAAAGCAGGTTTAAATTTGTGGACTTCAGGTATGGCTGCATCCAGGTGTTCAAATAATAGTCATAGAGCTGTGTCACTCTGCTCTCTCATCCACTTGCCTCTGCCTGCACAGTTCCTAGACAGGCCGTCTCTAGGTAGCAGCAAGATGGCTTATGACCTAAGGAAAGGGCCAGTGACCTTCCTGAGGCATCAGAAGTCCCAGAAGGGACTTTGGTTGGCTTGGCTTGGGTCTCACACCCATCTGTGAACCAGTCACTGTGGCAAGGGCAATGGAATGTTTTTGGTGGCCACATCTGGGTCATGTGATTGCTTCCAGGGCATGGGAACAGGATGGGGTGGTTTCTCAAAGGAAGAAATTCTAGGTAAATAAGAAATCTGTCCACTGCACTTGGCCTCCTTGGGATGGGACCTGTTCTCCCCTGAGTGCCACTGATGACCCTCCTGATGTTCTTTGGTGTCGCCAGGTGTCCCTGGGCTTACCTCAGCAACCGACAGCGCCGCTTCTCCATCCTCGGGGGCCCCATCCTGGGCACGTCGGTGGCCAGCCACTTGGCAGAGCTGCTGCATGAGGAGCTGGTGCTGCGATGGGAGCAGCTGCTTCTGGATGAGGCCTGCACCGGGGGCGCGCTGGCCTGGGTGCCTGGAAGGACACCCCAGTTCGGGCAGCTGGTCTACCCCGCTGGAGGTGCCCTGGACAGGCTGCGTATCCTTTCTCGCATGACGAGATCCCAGCGGGCTCCCCTTTGATGGAGGAGGTGCTGTTGGCGTAGTTGAGAGAAGGGTAGGAATTTGGGGGATTTGCAGTGACCATAGCTCGTGCACTGATCCTTAGTGAGAGACCCAGATTTCCAAGAGGTCGTTCTGGCCCCAGGTGACAACCCCCAATTCCTTGGGAAACCTGGACGCATCCAGCTCCAGGGACCTGTCCGGCAGGTGGTGACTGGCACCGTCCAGGGAGAAAGTAAGGCCCTTACATACCTCCCTCCCTCACTGGCTGATCTACTGTCTGGCCCTGACCCCTGACTCTATCCCTCCTCAGCTCTGCTTGCTGTCCGCTCTGACTACCACTGTGCCGTGTGGAAGTTCGGTAAACAGTGGCAGCCAGCTCTTCTGCAGGCAATGCAGGTGGACAAGGGGGCCACAGGGATCAGCCTCAGGTGAGGGGGGAGTCAGGCTGGTGAGGAAGAGGGGCTGGGGGAAGGGATGCGAAGCTCGATGTGAATGCGTTCCTGCCCTGCAGCCCTCACCTGCCGGGGGAGCTGGCCATCTGCAGCCGCTCAGGAGCCGTCTGCCTGTGGAGCCCTGAGAATGGGTATTGCCCCTTCCCGTGAAATCCTCCACCCTAACAGACTGAACTCCAGCCGGCCACTCCCCGTTCTGCATGTCGTGACCCTTGAACCCCTTCCACATCAGCCTGTCCCCCTGCCCATGGCTTGCCCGTCTCCCCAAGGCTGCAGCAAGTCTACAAGGACCCCGAGACCCTCGTGTTCCGGGACTCCTCTTCCTGGCGTTGGGCAGACTTCACCGCCCACCCTCGGGTGCTGACTGTGGGTGACCGCACTGGAGTGAAGATGATTGACACTCAGGTATGGGGTGGCGGCCGGAGACCTGCCGCGCCACAGAGCAGTGCGTGCCAGGCTGGCTGCAGGCCTGCGTCACAGGCCTGGGAGTGCGGAGAGGGCTGATCCTGTGTTTCTCCTCCAGGGCCCACCAGGCTGTGGTCTGTTGCTTTTTCGTGTGGGGGCAGAGGCTTCATGCCAGAAAGGGGAACGTGTCCTACTCACCCAATACCTGAGGCACTCCAGCCCTGAATGCCTCCCTCCCACTCTCCATCTCGTCTGTACCCAGGTAAGTGGCACCCACACCGCCCGGCCCTGCCTCTGCTCTGTCTCAGATGGTCACTAGAGGCTGCGGCTTACCAGCGGCTCTGCTGGGCCCAGACAACCACAGGGCAAACCAGACTCAATCCTGGATGAATCTGTAGCCCAAACCCTCAGTTGGTTTCACAGCTGATGATAACTGGCAGGTGGGGAATAGTAGCACTTCCAGCTGCTGCTAGGGCTGGAGCAGGGGAGGCGGGGCTCAGGGCGGGGCCTCCGAGCCGAGCTGCACAGTTTCTGCACAGTGCAGGAGGTGGGTGCTCTGAGGGAGCAGGTCTGCCTTCTACCCACCTCCTTGGGACATTCGTAGACGTGCCTCAGGCACAGACTCCGGGGTCAGAAGAGTGTGGGGGTGGCTTTGGGAAGTCCAGGCGGGTTTCTGCTGGCAAGGCTCCCCCTACCTCTTTGGGTACCCCTTTCCCACTTGTTCTGTCTGTCCACCCAGCTGTTGGTCAGACTTGGTGAAGGTGCCACCCACTCGGGAAGGGCCTCCTGTTCAGGGCTGGCAGGCTCAGGCTGAGAGGCACTTGGAGGCCGATGGGAGTGTGCTGCTGCCCCTTGGGACTCCGCACTCAGCAGGAGAGCCACGTGGGGCCTGGGAAGGGCCACTGCACAGCTCATCTCCCAGGTTCGGCCACATCCCCCTTCTTTCTTGGGCCCCAGTTCTCTCTCTACCTAGTAGACGAGCGCCTCCCCCTGGTGCCAATGCTGAAGTGGAACCACGGCCTTGCCTCCCCGATCCTGCTGGCCCAGCTGCTGCCTCCGCCCCAGCCTGGCTGTGTGCAGCCTCTGCTCCTGGGAGGCCAGGCCGGGCAGCTGCAGCTGCTGCACCTGGCAGGTGAGGGTCCAGGCCGGGGTGGACGGCGTGTGGGAGATGGGGCGGGCGGGGCCTGGTTGGGACCTCAGCTGTCTGTCCTTCCTCAGGAGAGGGGGTGTCGGCACCCCGCCTGGCAGGGCCCCCCCAGTCTCTTCCTTCCAGGACCGACTCTCTCCCTGCATTTCCTCTGCTGGAGCCTAAGATCCAGTGGCGGCTGCAGGAGCGTCTGAAAGCTCCGACCATAGGTGTGCTGGGGGAGGGGTGCGAGTTGGGTGGGGAGTGGGCTAATTGGAAAACACCCCCTGCCCCGCTAGACCCTGCAGGTCATTGTCATGCCTGTCTCCAGGTCTGGCCACTGTTGTCCCGCCTTTGCCCTTGGCCTCCACACCAGGCCTGGTGGTCTTCCAGCTCTCCGTGGCGGGAGATGTCTTCTACCAGCAGCTCCGCCCCCAGACCGACTCCAGCCCCCACAGAGATGCCCGGCCTCCCAGCGACACCAGACCTGACTGCCATGCCCCAACGGCTTCCTGGACCCCCCAGGACACTGCTGGCTGTAGCCAGTGGCTGAAGGCCCTACTAAAGGTGCCGCCAGCTCCTCCTGTGTGGACAGCACCCACCTTCAACCACCACCACCTGCTGGGCAGCATAGAGCTGCAGAGGGAGGAAGGGGCAGTGCAGCAGCTGGGCGTGCTGCGAGAGGCCATGGCCCAAGGTCGGCTCCTGCTGCAGAGAGACCTGGGCTCCCTCCCCATGGCAGAGCCACCCCCTGCACCCGAGTCAGGCCCAGCAGATGAGCTCAGTGAGCGCCTGGGGGAAGCCTGGGCAGGCCGAGGGGCTGCCTGGTGGGAGAGGCGGCGGCAGGTCAGGACCTCAGGGCCCAAGAGACAGCCCAGGCGACCCAAGCGCCGGACCCAGCTGTCGAGCACCTTTTCATTCAGTGGCCATGTGGACCCCTCAGATGGCACCAGCCCCCCTCACAGTCCTGAAGGGCCACCTGCTGGTGCTGTGCCTCGGTCCCCCATGACCTCGCCGTCCCAGGAGTTGACTCCAGATGCATGGGTCCAGGGCATCCCCTCAGAGCGGCGGCAGACCCTCCGTGACTACATGGCCAAGCTACCACTCCAAAGGGACACCCCAGAACATGCTGGCACACCCCCCTCCTCCCAGGCCTCCAGCACCCGGGCCACCCACTCCCGGCAGCACACACCCATCCTCTCTGGCTCTCAGCGCCCCCGGAAAAAGCCTCGAATGGGCTTCTGAGGACACAGGGTGGGCTGCCTCCAAGCCCCAGGAGCCCTCATCCTTCTCCACAGTTGAAACTTGAGAAGCAGAGCTCAGCACCTCTGGAGGTGGCTGTGATGATAAGCCAAGCAATTTGGAGCCAAGGGATAGGGCAACAGAATGTAATAGTTTTTTCTATTTTATATATTCACCTGGAGATCATTCCAAAAGGCAGCTTCAGGAGGTCCTGGCGGGCCTGTGTTGCCGGGATTCCAGTCTGTGCTGGTAGGCAGGGCTCCGCTGCACTCCAGCAAGTGGCCTCAGACAGGTCCCTCCGTTCTTGTGCCTTCCGTCCTCCAGTGAAAAGGGGGCAGTAGTGCTGCCTCCTCCTTGTGTTTGGTGAGGCCCCTGCAGAGCTGCTGATGAGGCGGGCACAGTGGCCATCGGCAGCTGCCGTTTGGGGTGTTTCAGCCTCTCCCGAGATCGGATTTTTTGTACAGGGAGACACCTTGGATCCCGGTTCAGGGATTGAATAAACTTGTCAGCTGGACATGAATTGGAGTGGTCAGATGTTTTAGGCTGGACAGCGTCCCCACACAGTAACTGAGCTCATGCACAGATGGCTGATGTTCCTTCTCCCTCGGGACATGGGTCTGGCACCTGTGGGCTCTTGGTAATGCCCTCTGAGTGGAGGGTCACAGTCATGTCAGTTTGGGAGAAATCCTCGTTGTGCCTTATGGACTCCCCCCTTTCTTTGCTCTCTCCCCTTCTCATTTTGATGTCTAAAGTATCAAGTCCCTGTTCCTCTGAGTTTCTTTAGCTGCAGTGGAAGATTCTGCTTTCCTTTGGGGAAAATGCCCACTTCAGATTTTATAGGGACCTGGGTGTGTCTGATTACATTTCTGGTGACACAGAGAATGGTCTTTGTCAGGGTGGCTGGTGAAAGGAATAGCATGTGACTCTCACGAACAGGAGATAGCCCAATCATACATTGACTCGTGTGGGTGTTAAAATGTTTATCATGCCTAAAGGAGACATTTGTAATTACACCATTTGTGCTACGTATAGCTAGGGGAACATATGCTTGCAGGACGGAACGAGCTACAGTCCCACGTGGACAGGGAAGGGCTGGGCTGGGCAACTCCAGCACATGTGGAAGGAAGGGTCACCTGTGCTTTCTCCCTGTCACTGTGACGTGAAGGACTGGGGGATGGCCTTGGGGTTCAGTCCAAATTCAGCATCCTCAGCTGGGTACAGTGGCTTATACTTTTAATCACAGCACTTTGAGAGGCTGAGGCAGGCAGATGACGTGAGGTCAGGAGTTTGAGACCAGCCTGCCCAACATGGTGAAACCCGTCTCTACAAAAATGCAAAAATTAGCCAGTGTCGTGGTGGGTGCCTATAGTCCCAGCTACTTCGGAGGCTGCGGCAAGAGAATTGCTTGCACCTGGGAGGCAGAGGTTGCACTGAGCCAAGATTGAGCCACCACAATCCAGCCTGGGTGACAGTATGAGACTGCCTCAAACAAAACAAATTATTCAGCGTCCTCCAGGCCTGCCCTGACCCGAGGCTCCACAGGCTGCAGCTCAGACTGCACTTCTTTCTTTTCTGTGCTGGTTCCTAGAGTGAAAGAGAAGGCCACTCAGTGTTCCCGGGAGATGCACTCAGGCTGCTCCCCCGTTCCTGCCTGCAGCTCTGCCGTCAGCCAGGCAGCTGTCTTCAGAAGGAAGTCCAGCCACCAGTGCATTATGGATGAGGGTAGAATGGTCTGGGCTCCACACAGCCTGATTCGGGGGTGCATCTGAAGGCAGGTACCGTATGAAAAAGCCCCAGCTTGCTTGTTCTAAGCACTAACCAGCTCCTCCCCAAAACCACATCTGCCAGGCGCACGGGCCAGCCTGTGGCATGAGGGGAGGCCCGGTTCGTTCAGCATATTTTTCTGCATCCTCCGCAGCCAGGCCTCTGGCCACCATCCCTGCCTGATGTCCCTTTGCCTTCCCTGCCTTGAAGGCAGCTAGGACTGGCCTGTGATTCACCAGGGCCAGGGTCACTGTGGAGCAGCCATGCCCTTGTGTGGCTGTCACCTTGCCCCACGATCCCCAGCCATGGTGTCGGTGGTCCCCTCCAAAAGCCTGGTCGACAAAGGCCGAGGCCAGGGATGGTGAGGAGGGGGTGGAAATGCAGGGTCCTCAGGCCCCCCACCGCCGGAGATCTGCATGACCACAGGGGCCTCAGTTGCCCAAGAAGAGGCTGGCTTAGCGTCTTTCTGGCCCAGGCTGGCTACTAGCAAGTGGCAGCTTTAGAGCCATGAACTTAGGACTGGGACCTTCAGAGGATCTGCGTGGTCTGTCCTGGTTGACCCCTCCAGGAACAGGACAGCTTGGGGTGAAGGCCGAGTGACTGCCCTGCCCCACCCATGGCAGGCTAGGGAGCCCACACCATCTCCACTGTGCTCTCTGCCCTGTGCTCTCACCTGGAGAAGAGGCTGCAAGGAAGTCGCTGTCCCTGTCTCCACTGGAAGTGAGGGGTGCAGCGTCTCTTTGGCAGGTTGGGGGTATCCATGGTTGGCCAGAGGGCTCTTGGTCACTGAGCTCCTGGATCAGGGGTCGTGGGGACTTGGTGTCTTGTTTTCGGATTTCCATGTCCCTCTTAGCTTCTTTTTTAAAGATGTCTGCAAAGGGCGCCCGAAGCTGCTTTGAGGTGTCTTTAGAGACTGCAAATATATTTGAGAGGGTGTCTACAGACAGGTTTTCCAGCATGGGGAGTGATGTGTAGTCCAGTTCAGGGTCACTGTCATCACTCAAGCTCGAGATGGCCTCAATCTTCGGAAAGCACATATTCTGTTAACGGAAGAAAAGATGTGTTTGACGGTTTCTGTTTGACAGCGGACTCGCTCTACAACGCAGCATGCTGGCCCTGCTTTTTCATTCTAATGCCACAAACTATTCTGTTGCCACATCCAAGACAGGCCCAAGGGACACAGAACTCAAAGTCAGGCCTGGGGGTGGCTGCTCCCTGCCCACAGCTGATGTCTATGCCCCTCTCCAGCCTCTGCTCCCCCAACCCCCAGGTTTCCGTAGCACAATGCCCTCCTGGTGCCTGAGTGGACGCACCCCTCAGCCTTGGGCTCTGGTTTGCATGCCCCTGACCCCGGCTTCATTCAGACTTTAGGACTTAGCTCCTTGGACAGCAGCCCCCCCACCAACCCCACAGTAACTGTGTCTGTTTTCTTTGACATTGAGCTCATGCACAGAGATGATGGCTGATGCTTCCTTCTCCCTCAGGGCATGAGGCTGGCACATACAGGCTCTTGGTAATGCCAGTATCACTTTTAGAGGATTCCCATTGTGCCTCACAGACTCACCCCTTTCTCTCCTCTCTCCTCATTTCCTTCCTTCTTCCTGTAGCTATATTCAGACAGACATTGATAGGATGGACATAGAAATACATCTTAAAGACAGAAAATCCTTTCAGGTAACTGTGCACTGTACTCAGCTATTAAAAACCAGCAATATATTCCCAAGTGGTTAATCATAAAATCTTAAATCAACTAAAACAAATGGCAGCATTTCCTTCAGCAAGGTGGAAATGTGGGGGATGTGGGCCGGGCACAGTGGCTCACACCTGTAATCCCAGCACTTTGGGAGACCAAGGCAGGTGGATCACTGGAGGTCAGGAGTTCGAGACCAGCCTGGCCAGCATAGTGAAACCCCATCTCTACTAAAAATGCAAAAATTAGCCAGGTGTGATGGCACAAGACTGTAATCCCAGCTACTCAGGAGGCTGAGGCATTATTGCTTGAACCCGGGAGGCGGAGGCTGCCGTGAGCTGAGATCGCGCTGTTGCACTCCAGCCTGGGTGACGGAGCCAGATTCTGTCTCAAAAAGAAAGGAAATACGGGGGATGCAATGCTTTCTGCACAGGAGCATTTTACTTTCAAGTTTAGGAGAGAAACTGTAAACAACAAGAAGGGAGGTGGAATTAAGCTGACTGTGGAAGACGGTTACTTGATACCTTAGCCTGGTCTTGCAGAGATCTGCCTGCTTCCTCATCATCTTCCAAGTCAGGGAGGTCCTGAAAGAGCAAGTGAGCTGCACGTCATCAGGGAGGCCTTCAACATTCCATAGGCGTGATAAAGGCAAACAGCACAGCCTCAGTTCCGTTACTGGAATCACTCAGGGGACTCCCCTGCCCATGCCCCTCCAAAGCAAACTCTAAGCATACACAAAGCAAGCGTTGCCACCTCAGGGGTCTGAATCTCATAAATGAAAGGGAACTTGGAAGGTGTGACAAGTTTAAAGAACTTCCACATCTTTTTTCTGCTTTTTTGTTAAAAGACACAGCCAGTTCATCTGCGGGAGGGGGGATAACAGCACTCTGACGATACAATGTAACTCTCACCACAAATGTGGATAAGGCAACTAGACAGGACTGCTTCCCAGTATAGCTTCTTTGGCAAAAACGAATCAAGAGTTTGGTAGTCATGGTTCAAGGGCAGCGCTGTGGACCAGGGCTCCCCAGACTTGAGCATCCCTGCGTACGAATCACCTGGGCAAAGCGTTACAGGTGGATTCTGATCAGCAGGCCTAGGGTGGGGCCTGGGATTCCAGATTGGTAACCAGCGCCCCAGCAATGCCAGGCCTGCCGGCCCAGGGACCTCACTTGGGGTATGGAGGGAGGGTCTCCAAGGTTTGCATCTGATTGCCGAATTTACTAACGGTAGAACTGATACTCATCCCTAAGGTTAAATACTTCACCTACATCAATGCGGAACGTCTCCTTTGTCTCCAGTTTAACAGTTTCTACACCTTCCGTTCCCGACCCGTTGAGTTCTGTAACAAACTCAGCAGCCACAGCCTGGTGAGTCAGGTCTAAGGAGCAACAAGAAGCCTTGGAGTTAGTTTAACACGCAGCGGGCAGATGGACAAGCCCACGGTGAAGACGGACTCCCAGGCAGACGAAGGACAGAAACCCTCCTCAGGGCTCAAAGGCCAGCCCCCTGTGACAGAAGCCGCAGCTCAGGACAGGCTTCTGTCTGCTGGAAAAGAACAGAACGGCTGCCCCTTTCTGTAACCTGGAGTTGAATCCTAGGAGATGACGGGCACTGGCCAGGAGTCAAAGCAGCAGCCGCAGGAATCTTGGTAACAGCAGCTGACTGCAGGGTGACAAGCGATGCCAGCATGGGTGACTCGCTCGGAGACAGAGGGTCAGGCTTCACAGCCCACCACCAGCCTGTCCCTCAGTCACGGCATGCGCCCCTCCTGCTGCATGAGGTCAGGACGTGTGCAATTTCATAACTGCGAGATCGCCTGAGGAATGTGGACTCTCCATGGGCCCCTTCTTCGTCCAGACCCCTACTTCTGCTTTTTATTTATTTTTATTTTTTTGAGACAGGGTCTCACTCTGTCACCCAGGCTGGAGTGACGTGTTGTGATCTCTGCTCACAGCAACCTCAAACTCCCAGGCCACCCCTCCCACTTCAGCCTCCCAAGTAGCTGGGACTACAAGTGCTCACTTCCTAATTTATTGTCACCAGCTAATTTATTATGTTTTTGTAGAGGCTGGGGTGGGGGGTGGCGCAGCGAGGGGGGCTTCTCACTGAATTGGCCAGGCTGGTCTCGAACTCCTGGCCTCAAGCGATCTGCCCGCCTTGGCCTCCCACAGTGCTGGGATGACATTCGTGAGCTACTTCGCAGGGCCTGCCCTAGTTTTCCCCCGGGGCTGTATCCTTGGGTCCTGTCTGGTCCCTCCATTGCTCTCATGGCTTCATTTATGTCAGAGAGGAATGGCCCACCTTTCATCGTTTAAACAGTTGCTGTTCAACCATGTCAGATACATACTGGATTTTGATGACTTAGTTAAAAAAAATATAAAATGTCTCACTGACAATTTTTATGTTGATTCCATGTTGACAGGATTATATTTTTTATATATTGGGTTTTTATACTGGGTTACATAAAATATATCATTAATAGTTTTACTGTTTTATTTTACTTTTTTTTTTGAGACGGAGTCTCCCTCTGTTGCCCAGGCTGGAGTGCAGTGGCACGATCTCGGCTCACTGCAACCTCTGCCTCCCAGGTTCAGTTTATTCTCCTGCCTCAGCTTCTGGAGTAGCTGGGACTACAGGCATGTGCTACTACGCGTGGCTCATTTTTGTATTTTTAGTGGAGACGGGGTTTCACTGTGTTGGCCAGGATAGTCTCAATCTCTTGACCTCATGATCCACCTGCCTCGGCTTCCCAAAGTACTGGGATTACAGGGGTGAGCCACCGCACCTGGCCTACTTTTTTTTTAATTTTTAATTTTTTTTTTTTTTTTTTTGAGGGAGGGTCTTACTCTGTTACCCAGACTGGAGTGCAGTGGTGCAATCTTGGCTCACTGCAGCCTCAACCTCTTGGGCGCAAGCAATCCTCCTGCCTCAGCCTCCCGAGTAGCTGGGACTACAGTGGCACACCACCATGTCCAGCTAATTTTTGTAGTTTTGGTGGAGACGAGGTCTCACTATGTTGTCAAGGCTGGTCTGGAACTCCTGGCCTCAATCAATCCTCCTGCCTTGGCCTCCCAAAGTTCTTCTTACTTTTTTTAATGGAGCTACTAGAGAATCTAGCAGTGGTTCCTGTTCCACGTATGTCGGGCAGCAGTGTTCATTACCTGTGTACGCTACCTCCTACAAACAGCAATACAGAAGAAGTGAAACTCAGGCCTCAGGTCCCACAGAGGCATGAGTCAAAGGCTGGGGGTCCCTGAGTGGGGTGTGTATCTGTGTGTGTTTCTCTGCTTGTGTTACCTTCCCTGGCAGCTCCGAGGGGCAGCGGTGGCGAGGCCTCAGCTGGGAGGGTCCCCTCTGGCTTTCCATCTCCGTCCTCTCCTTTAGCCTCCACAGGTGGCAGGAGTGGTGAGGCCTCAGCTGGGAGGGTCCCCTCTGGCTCTCCATCTCCGTCCTCTCCTTTAGCCTCCACAGGTGGCAGGAGTGGCAAGGCCTCAGCTGGGAGGGTCCCCTCTGGCTCTCCATCTCCGTCCTCTCCTTTAGCCTCCACAGGTGGCAGGAGTGGCGGGGCCTCAGCTGGGAGGGTCCCCTCTGACTCTCCATCTCCGTCCTCTTCTTTAGCCTCCACAGGCGGCTCCTCTCCTCCACTTGGCCTTTCCGGGTAGAGCTCGTCCTTGGCCTCAAAGCATTCCTTAACAAACAGCTCCATCTTCTGCCTTGCTTCTCTGTCCCTCGGAGGCTCTTCCTTGCCTTCAGCACTGGTGGGCACGTTCTCACCATCATCTGAAGGCAGCATCTCCCCTAATGGAGGAAAATGCAAAGGTGACTATAGGAGTCTCCTGGGAGGACAAAGGTGTTCGTGCATACATCAGGGGTTCACAGCAAACTTCTGGCACTAGGGAAGGGGTCAGGAACACAGTTTAAAAAGTATCCTCTAGGGGACGGGTGCGGTGGCTCATGCCTATAATCCCCGCACTTTGGGAGGCCGAGGTGAGTGGATCACTTGAGGTCAAGAGTTCAAGACCAGACTGGCCAACATGACGAAACCCCATCTCTACTAAAAAATACAAAAAATTAGCTGGATCTGGTAGCATGTGCCTGTAGTCTCAGCTACTCAGGAGGCTGAGGCAAGAGAATTGCTTAAACCTGGGAGGCGGAGGCTGCAGTGAGCATGATCTGGAGTGCAGATCATGCCACTGCATTCCAGCCTGGGTGACAGAGCAAGACTCTGTATCCTAAATAAATAAATAAGGAACACAGTTTAAAAAGTGTCCTTGAGGGGCTGGACATGGTAGTTCAGGCTTGTGACCCCAGAACTTTGGGAGGCCGAGACAGACATATCATTTGATGTCAGGAGTTCAAGACCAGCCTGGCCAACATGGTAAAACCTTGTCTTTCCTCAAAAAAAAAATACAAAAAATTAGCTGGGCGAGATGGCACAAGCCTGTAATCCCAGCTACTAGAGAGGCAGAAGAAGCGCTTGAACCTGGAGGCAGAGGTTGCAGAGAGCCATTGCGTTCCAGTCTGGGTGACAGAGTAAAACTCTGTCTCAGAAAAAAAAAAGTGTCCTGGAGGGATGTGCATCATTGTTGTTTATGATGGATAATAGCGGGGGCCAAATGCCCACAGACAGTGCAGCTGAGCACAGCCGGTTAATAGAACAGAATACAGCCATCAGGAAAACAGAATGCAGGAAGTTCTTAGGAGAGGCATGCTGGCCTGTGGGCGGTTTAAGGGCTGCAGCCTTTGCTTTTATCTTCAAATGGTTCAGGGGAAAAGCAAAGCTCTGTGTGTGTGTGTGGGGGGGGGGGCAAATGTGTAACAAATTATGAAAAACCACAGAATCTGTTAATAAACGAAGATATACAGCTATTCGTTTTACTATTCTCTGAGCTTTTCTGAAAATTTTTAATGTTTCAAAACAAAATGTTGGGAAAGACAAAATATATGTAGTAAGAAAATATCTATTGTATGGAAAATAGAGTATGCTAATTCAAAAGAGTAGACAGGAAGCAATATAATTATGCCATTTTTATATAAAAATATATGTGTGGCTGAGTGTGGTGGATCACGCCTGTAATCCCAGCACTTTGGGAGGCTGAGGCGGGAGGATTGCTTGAAACCAGGAGTTCGAGACCAGCCTGGCCAGCATAGCAAGGCCCTGTCTGCACAAAAAATACAAAACAATTAACCAAAGATGTTCACTCACCTTAATCTTAGAAGATGAATATGTCACCCTACATGAGCAAAGGGACAGTGCAGATGTGCTTAGGGTCTAGAACCTTGAGATGGGAGATTGTCCTGGATGATCCAGGCAGACTCAGAACAATCACAAGCATCCTGAGGGAGGCAGGAGCGTCAGCGCCAGGGTGAGGCTGGAAGATGCCACACTGCTGGCCTGGAAGTTGGAGGAAGGGGCCACAGGCCAGGGAACGCAGGCGGCCTCTAGGAGGTGGGAAAGGCAAGGAAATGAGTTCTGCCCTGGGGCCCCCAGAAGGAGCACAACATGGATATCTCGATTTTAGCTTAGTGAAACCTATTTTGGGCTTCTGACCCACAGAACTGTAATAAGGTAACAGATTTGTGTTCTTTTAAGCCACTAGTTTTGTGGTAATTTGTTGTGGCAGCTGTGAAATTACAAGATATGTGTATCTCTGAAAACAGAGCTCCTAAAACCCCTGTAGATAGGGGCGCTGGGAGGCTCTTTTGTTCTAATATTTGGTCTTCGACCCCAGTTCCTGACACAGAGCCCTAAGACCTTGTCCAGAGTGACAGGAATATCTTTTGTTTGAATGGGGCAGCTCTTGGGGGTAGGGTGGCTTCTGGAATCAGAGAGGCCAAGCCACGATTAGAGGCTTGGAGCTTTCAGCCCCACCCTCGTCCTTCAGAGAGGGCAGAAGGGCTGCAAATGGAGTTAAGCATCCATTATGCCCAAGTGTTGAAGCTCCTGGAGAAACTCTGAACTGCGGGGTTCAAAGAGCTTTGAGTTGCTGAACACTGGAGGTACCTGGAGTGGGCAGGGTGTGCCCAGAGAGGGCATGAAGCTCTGCCCCTTCCCACAGACCTTGCCCCAAGCCCCGTTTCAACCCGCGGTTCATCTGCATCCCTTATCATATCCTTTATTAATATAATAGCCCAGAAAATATAAGTGTTCTCTGGAGTTCTGTGAGCCGTCATAGCAAGTTATCAAACCCAAAGAGGCCGTCGTAGGAACCCTAATTTTATAACCATTCCGTTAGAAATACAGGCGACACCCTGGGACTCGCAGTTGGCACCGGGAGTGGGGAGTAGCGCGGGACGGTTGCCCATCACCTGCGGGGTTAGTGTCAGGATGGAACGGAATCGTATGACACCCGGCTACTGTCAGGGAACTGGCTGGTGTGGAATCCCTGCACATTCGGCGACCAGAAGTGTGCTGAGAGTTGAGAGTGTATGAGACGAGAACAGCCTGTTTGTGTTTTCCTATTGTCAGCGGCTGCAGAAAACCAGCACATCATTTATTTTTGAAAAACTGTTTCAATCAGTCAAAGTGGTTTGAAGCAGCTCATCACCATTCGAGGTTCTCACCGGTGCTGGCAGGTGGGTGAGGCCAACTGCAGATGGATCTGCAGGTTGTGAGTAAATGGTTTAAAAAAAAAAAAAAAAAAAAAAAAAATCCTTGGCCAGGTGCGGCAGCTCACGCCTGTAATCCCAGCACTTGGAGAGGCTGAGGTGGGTGGAGCACTTGAGCCCAGGAATTTGAGACCAGCCTGGGCAACATAATGAAACCCTATCTCTACAAAAAAATTTTTTTAATTAGCTGAGCATGGTGGTGCACACTTGTAGTCATAGCCACTGAGGAAGCTGAGGTGAGAGGATCACTTGAAGTGGAGGTTTCAGTGAGCCAAGATTGTGCGACTGCACTCTAGCCTGGGAAACAGAATGAGATCCTGTCCCTACCAAAACAAAACAAAACAAAAAAATCCAAGGCCAGGTGCAGTGGTTCACGCCTATAATCCCAGCACTTTGGGAAGCCAAGGCAGACAGACTACTTTAGGAAGCCAAGAGGTCAACATGGACAACATGGCAAAACAGCTGTCTCTACTAAAAATACAATAATTAGCCAGACATGGTGGCGCATGCCTATAATCCCAGCTCTGGGTGGGGCTGAGGCAGGAGAATCGCTTGAACAAAGGAGACAGAAGTTGCAGTGAGCCGAGATCACGCTGCTGCACTCCAGCCTCGGTGACAGAGTGAGACTCTGTCTATAGACAAAAAAATCCCCAAAACTAAAGACTGAGTTTGACAGCTTGGACCTGCCTGACCTCACAGGAACTCTGGGGCTGCTGCCTTGGGCCTAGAGCGCCTACCTCTTTCTTGACTCTCTCTCTGTCTTTTCCTCTCCTCCGCCCGCCGCTTGATCATGGCCAAGGCTTCAATGCTGTCTGTGATCTTCTTCTGCTCCCGACTCTCCCACTGCTGTCTCTCCTCCTTCTCAGCTGTGTACCCTCCCCTAGCCCAGGCCTCTGCACAAGCTCTGTTGAAAAAACCAAAGACACATAAATAGGTGAGGGGAACTCCAAACATATACTCTCTGACCACCTTACTCATTTTCTTCAAAATCAAAGCAAAGTGAGCGTCAGACATGTGGCCGCAAGGATGACAGTTACACGTGGACATTTTATTAAGATGGAACGGTCTGCACAGCCTTCCTAGGTATGGCACCAAAAGCACAAGTGACAAGAGAAAAAACAGAGAAATCGGACTCCACCGAAATTAAAAACTCTTGTCATGCAAAGGATATCGTTAAGTAAAGTAGTATAAAAAGACAGCAGACCACCGGCTCACGCCTGTAATCCCAGCACTTTGGAGGCCAAAGTGAGAGGGTCGCTTGAGTGCAGGAGTTCGAGACCAGCCTGGGCAACACAGCAAGACCCTGTCTCTACCAGAAAAAAGTAAAAAGACAAAGAATGTAAGAAGATATTTGCAAATCCTATCTTTGATAAGTTGTACCTGGAAAATATAAATAAGCCTAACAACTCATTAATAAAAAGATGACACAATCAAAATGAGCAAAGTTTTATGTTTTGTTTTGTTTTGTTTTTTGGAGATGGAGTCTTGCTCTCTCGCTCAGGCGGGAGTGCAGTGGCGCAATCTTGGCTCACTGCAACCTCAGCCTCCCGGGTTCAAGCAATTCTCCTACCTCAGCCTCCTGAGTAGCTGGGACTACAGGCACCCGCTACCACGCCCAGCTAATTTCTGTATTTTCAGTAGAGACAGGGTTTCACCAAGATGGCCAGATGGTCTCAATCTCTTGACCTCATGATCCGCCCACTTGGCCTCCCAAAGTGCTAGGATTCCATGCATGAGCCACTGCGCCAGGCCCAAAATGAGCAAAGTTTTAAAAATCGAAAAGACCAGCAACAGACTGGGGAGAAAATACTTATAGAAAAAGATAACTGGGAAAGGGCTTGCATCCAAAACATACAAAGAACTTTTAAAATTCAAAGGTAAGGAAACAACCCAATAAAAAAACTGGGCAAAAGATCACGCTACTTCACCAAAAAAGATAAACAGATGGCAAGTAAGCCTGTGAAAAACACTCCGCACCCCATGTCCTCAGCGAAATGCAAATGAGAACAAGATAATGTGATATTGCTATTACATGGCTAAAGTCCAACACATTGACAACGCTGTGCTAACGTGGATGTGGAGTTCGGGGAACTCACACTTGTTCCCAGGAGGAATACAAAATGGTACAGCCACTTAGGAAGACGGTGTGGCGGATTCTTACAGGACTAAAAATGCTCTCACCATATGATCTGGCAATTGCTCTCCTAAGTATTTACCCGAATGAGCTGAAGACTTAACGTCCACACTCACACCTGCACATCGACGTTTACAGCAGTTTTATTCTATTTGGCAAAAATCAGAAGCGACCAAGAATTCCTTTAGTAGGTGATTGGATAAACAAACTCTGGCACATCCTGACGGAGGAATATCTCTCAGCAATGAAAACAAACTAGCTGTCGGGCCACAGCGTCATGGGAGAAGCCTCAGTTCATTGCTACGTGAAAGAAGCCCGTCCATGAAGGCTATCTGCTATATGATTCCAGCTATATAACTTTCTAGATAAGGCAAAACTATGGAGACAGTAAAAAGATCAGTGATGCCAGGAGTTGGGGCTGAGGTGGGAGGGATGAATAGGCAGAGCACAGAGGGTTTTCAGGGCAGTAAAACTATTCTGTGAGATACTGTGATGGGGGATACACGACATTATACCTTTGTTCAAATCCATACAATGTGCAACACCCAGCGTGAGCCTGAAAGAAACGACAGACTTCAGTCGATAATAAGGTACCAGCATTGGCTGATGACTTGTCACAAATGTACCACATGAGTGTAAGAAGTTACAAACAGGAGAAACTGTAAGGGTGGGTGGTATATGGAAACTCTCTGCTCAATTTTTCTGTAAATCTAAAACTGCTCTGAAAATAAAGCCTAAGCCAGTCGCAATGGCTCACATCTGTAATCCCAGCACTTTGGGAAGCCAGGGTGGGCAGACTGCTAGAGCCCATGACTTCCAGACCAGCCTGGGCAACATGGCGAGACCCCATCTCTACAAAAAGCACGAAAACTTGCCAGGCCTGGTGGCGCACACCTGTAGTCCCAGCGACGCAGCTGGCTGAGAGGTGAGAGGGTTGTTTGAGCTCCGGAGGTCGAGGCTGCAGTGAGTCATGATTGCACCACTACACTCCAGCCTGAGCGACAGAGCAAGATGCTGTCTCAAAAAAAAAAAAAAAAAAGTCTATTAATTTTTTTTTAAAATCGGCAAGGAAACTGAACAGGCATTTCTCCAAAGACGATATAAAAACTGCCAGTAAGTACATGAAAGATGCTCAACATTATTATCTGCCAGAAAAAAAGCGATGGAAACCACAATCAGACACCACTTCATACCATCCAGGGGGACTAGAAATAAAAGGACAAGCAGCCAGAAGTGCTGGCGAGGATAAGGGAAAGCTGGAACTTTCCACACTGCTGATAGGGATGTAAAATGGTGCAGCTGCTCCTCCTCAAAATGTAAACATAAAGTCCCTGTATGGCCCAGAAATTCCACCCCTAGATATATACCCAGGAGAAGACAACATCTGTCCTCACAAAAATTTCATGATTCATAACAGCCTAATTTGAAAACAACCCTAATTTCCAAAAATGGATGGACAAATAAAATGGAGTGTGTCAAAATGCAGTATTCACCTGGCAATAAAAAGGAAGGAAGTGCTGGATGGAACACGCCACATCGCAGATGAGCCTTGACAACACAATGCTGAGTGAAAGACGTCAGAAACAAAAGGCCACATAGCAGGTGACTCCATGTATATGAAATGTCCAGAACGGGCGAATCGACAGAGGAGTGGCTGCCACAGCCTGCAGGGAGCGAGAAATGGGGGGCTGGCTGCTAATGGGGATGGTGTTTCCTTTTTAGGGTGATGAGAATGTTCTTCTATTTTTTTTTTTTTTCCT